TTAAGTGTCTGGTTCGTTCACTGGGGCTGCATCTCCGAGACTTTGTACAAAATGAGAACACTGTTTCTCCATATAGATGGACCCTTAATTGTCGTCGAGTTGCCATGATGTGAGGTCATGAAAGAGTTCTGGAATGGACACTTGTTTCTGATTGTGTTACTTAGAGCACAGGAGAATGAATTCAATCAAACTGTTCTTTGTTTTCAAAGTGGTGGGGTTTATAATGTCCACCAGTCACGAGTGATTTATTTTGTCCGGGGCCATTTTGGCTTGTGTTTTTAAATGTCGCTCTTCCTCAATATTGTTTCCATAGAAACTTTGGTATTGCATTGTATAACCGCTATTTGCGCTCTACAAGCTGTCAGTGCTGTCCTCATGGACCAATCAGAAAATTCATATTTTTTTAGTATTTTTAAAATGGAATATTATTATCAAATAAAGCTTATGATTGCCAGAGGGTTGTCAGCACGAGTCATGACGACCTTTTTTTTTAAACATTTGATAGATCACCTATGCGTTTCGTATACCACACAGCGGAAATGTTATCAGTTATGACGAAACAGTATGTATGTATCTTCCTTGTATGTTTAACGAGCGCGCCTTTGGGAACGAGGTTACGGGGTACGGAAGACTCTGTATTCCATGCAAATTCTCTTCCACAATGTCTTTTCTTTCCTAGATTCCAAATTCTAGTCCTTTTCAACCGGGGGTGGGGGACGGGTGGATAGACTTCCCATAGGTGCACTTTTTCTTCAAAAAGAGAAAAGGACCAGACGAGGAAATAAAACGCGGCTTCTGTTTTTTGTTTCTTTTCCGATCCGTCGGGTTCCGGCGGGCTGGATATTCAACCTCGATACCAGGGTCCTCTCAGACGGGAACCCTGAATCGAAAAAAGGTCAACTTTTAATTCTTTTATACAGTTACAGTCGAATCTTCACTAATAGACACCTCTCTACAACGACTACTTTTCTCTGTCCCCAAGGTGGCCATTGTGGAGAGGTTCAACTGTAATTAGTTAGGAGTCAGGTCACACCACCGATCGGCCTAATAGCTTACAGTACCTAACGGCTAGAAGGGTTTTAGGAGCTTATTGATTCATGATCAGTGAAAACTTGTATATATTATGTCACCACAAAGCTTAGTGACGAGGAAGCCCAAGGAACCAACTGGGCTTTTAGTCGATGGGCTCCCTTTAACTTATGTCTAACGTCTCCAAATACACACCTCTCCCGATTCATACTTAATGCTGGAGAGAGACCTGTCCTCCATTAATTCTAGAATATCTTTAGGCTGAAGTAAAATACGTTTGGTCTTCACCCTCGAGTAAGGGTTCAGAAACTAGCGTTTCCAAATTTCGATGATCGACTGAGGACGAAGCACACCTACCCCCTTCGGCCCTAAGTGACTCCATATAAAATGACGGGAATACTGGTTGGAAAATAGGCAATTTACATGATGGTGTCATTTTACTACTATGACCAGAATCCTTTTCGTTTGTTCTGTTATATTTAAATTCAGTTATCCTAGCGAGGTTTAAATAACAAAAGCCCTAATTTGCAAAAGAAAACAACATTCTGAAGGATTCTGGTCGTGGTAGTAAAATGACGTCATCGTGTAAATGGCCTATTGGAAAAATACTCCTAAACGAGGTCTATTTCGGCGTGGCTTGGGCTTTTTTCTACCCCCCTCCCCTCCCCCGCTCAAAAACAAAAAAGGGAAATAC